TTTTACACTAACTTTTCAGCGAATAACGTTGCGCCACAGCGAACACGTTTTTTCCAATTACTTTTTCAGGAGGTAAGTACCTGCGTAAGCATTCATGTGGATGTTGAATTAAGTATGCAGCCATTTTTCATTAACAAGCGTTTATTAAAGGCCTTTATTTTTTGTCTATTTCATTTTTTCTAAGACAGTCTTTTATTAATCGTATAATACTACTTGAGATAAATTCAATGACAATTTCAATTATTCAATATAAAACGTGTACTAAAAAGATATATTTAGAAGACACGAATACCACGCAGCGGTTGAAACTGCTAAAACCAGGTGATAAAGGGAAATTCATGAAAGACGTCGATGGGTCAGTGCATTAAAAGGAAATAAGATCAGAGAAAAGATTGAACGAATCTGAGAGGAGGTTAAAACTGCTTGGTCGTCGTTTGCTGTCACCACGGTGGCCTCTTTGACCCGCTTTCTCTTTTCCCACCCGATTTGTCTCGTGGACATGCCTACCGCGTTTTCTTTAACTGGGAAATTCATGATGCCAGCCTCGCCACCTGCCGTGCCACGACTCTAATCGAGTCGTCGTCTACCGCTGGAGCAAGAAACGAAAAACCGGAAGTCGACAGCCAGCCAAGTGGGTCGGACAAGCAAGCGCACGGACCTGCGGATTCCGATTCATCGACCAAGTACAGTTCCTGGCAAGAATATCCAATTATCTTAGTATTGAAATAACTCTGCATGAAATCGTTTGTTCAATTCGAATGAAAAATATAAGTTAGAACCTATAAAGATGGAAGTCGAAGTGTTCCTACGACATCGATTTAACCTTATGAGCTTTCTTATTTAATTTGGTGCGTTTTAAAGTTTGATTGTTAAAAATTAGCCAGGCCACATACTTTTGTGATGAACTGTAGGCTCGCACGGTTCGTTCAACCTTTACTTGCGACCGGTTACATTGCGCATCAGCCGAGCACTTTCGAAAAGTGGCCGACAAGTGGACTTCACCATCGATTCTGCAATATTGTGGCGTGATCGAGGTTGAGGAGGAGAAATTCCTTGGGTAAAGGTTAATCAAAAGCGTGGAATGGTGTCCCTGCGAGAACTTCGGAATTGGATAAGTGTGTCGTATGGAAACTGAATATTTCTGACTAAACGATGTCTTTTATATTCGATGCAACGAGACGTTCGGTAGGATCACAAACAAATCAACTTTTTGTCGAGAAACTTACATTCTGGTTTCGTGAGATTCTTGATCAGATTCAGTGCTTGTCTCTAGTTGATGGAACGTGCAAATATATTGAATATTAAATCGTTAATATTGATGTAGTAATGTAAGAAAATTATTTCGTTGTTTCAAGCGTTAGATAATTATTTTTTCATACGTTTTTCTTTTACTCGGTTACGCTTTCACCGTGTAAAAAGAGGGTCAAGTTATACACATTATGGTATCATTCGATCATTTAATTTATCAATTCTGAATCTTAAGATAATCTAATAACGCAAGAACTATTTTCTTATCTTACTATGTACATAGATACATAAACGATAAAAAAAGAAACGATTAGAAAACATTGCGACTGGAATCAGTAAATTATGATTTCCAGCGACCCGATTTCTTTAATCGAGCCAGCCTTGGTCGCGGGAGGCCGTTCGAATTTTTATCTGGAACCAAATAAGCATTCGTGAAGAAATAGAACATGAAGCGTGACATGCCGCCTGACCATAAGTGTCGATTTCGAACAAGCCCGAAGCGAGTGAACAGATCGCAAAAGAAAGTCAGCGACGGTGAACAATGAAGTGGGTCGTGTTTCTACGGCGTTTATCATCGATCATTTCACCTTCTTCGTCAAGAGGTCGTCAGGATCGGCGAAGTAGGTTGTCTGGCAGCTCGTACCCGTGCAAATTAGTTCCTCGAAAAATGTCGCGCACACGAAAACCGGTAGTATGTATCGATTAAAGTTGTTCACCGTTCAGCAAACACGCCTCAGTCTCAGTAACTTTCATCGGGAAAGGGACACACGTGTATCACCGGCTGAAAACTTGAAGGCAAAACAACTTTCATCCCTCTGAAACTGAGTTATTCTCGTTGAAAAACAAAGTTGCGGAAAATCTACGTAACAGCATATCTACAGGTAAATACGCGTAGGAGGGACTTGAAGGAATTATGGGTGTCGGCTAATTGCAGATACAGCTCAGAACATACAAGGTGTACCAGAAGCCATCATTTTCTTCTGATGGCGTAAAAGAAGATGAAATTCTGATTAAAAAATTCCTCTTCTAGTTTTCCCTCCAATTGTTATGAACAAAATTATTAACGAAAAAAGTGGAATAAGTCGCGTTGAGCATAGCTGACAACTCAGCACTGTACGCTGGCACGAGATTGCAATTTTCTCTTATCTAATGAAATCAAATTGATCACTTATCATCCACGTCATGAGCGAGTTGACTGATCACTATTTTTGCAATAAACAAAAACATAACAAATCGATTACAATTATTAGATACTCAAATACATGACAGACGTCGTTTCGAGGAAGTTCAAACTTAATCAAGCCTATCAACCTAAAAGAAACTGAACAACTTTCTAGCATGAATAGAATTTTCACGCGGAGTTCGCAGTTTACGCTAAAGTTATAACAAATGCGATGTTACACGATGATAACGGTCTGATACAAGGTTGCGGGTAATTGAAAAGGATCCCTTCGTCGATGCATTTTGATGCATAATACCGTGGCTCGTTATACTATCAGGAAATTACAACAACGCTTTCCATTCGTGTGTATGTATACGCATACGTGCATGCGTACGTGTTCTGTTATGTCAGCGGCACGGCGCCGCGCTATGTCTAACGTTAGTTTCATATTGTTATCTACGCGGAAGTAACCATGATGCTTCCTATCCCGTGTCCTTTCTCATCGCATCGACGACCACCGCGTACGAGACTATAAGTGGAATCCTTGCGTTCCTGATTTTGTTTTAATTAACCGGCGTATATCCTGCCCGCTGGTTTATAATTGGAGGTCGACAGTCTGTTAATAAATTAATTAGAAGGGATGAAGAGAATAGGAGATTAATTTAAGTACGGTGAGATGGCATAATTTAAGCGTAAATTAGTTGAGTGTTGTATACTTACGTGAAGTGCATTTTCTTTGTATCAAACGGGCATAATTGGAAAGAATGTGATTGTATAGAGCGAGCGCTGATTACTTGCATAAACTTAGATGGATAAAGCGATAGGAATGTGATATGATGAATGTGATTTATTGGCAAAACGATGACCAATAGATTTATTTATTATACATTTTATTCTAATCAGTCATGAAATAGACTCCTTAATTATGTTATAGTCCCCTTTTTATCACGATCCTTCACTTCCAACTTTCAGTACAAACACCTTTTCTTTTGCATCGTATCATGCGAAATTATTTTTTTTTCTCGAAAGTACCGGATCTCGGGAGTACAATGTATAAAGTATTCGAAATTTAAAAAGTTATAAGTTTTTTCAAATGACTAAGAACGCTGAATAATGGAGACATGTATCACTGTGATCGCAATACCACTGAAAAATATTATTAAGTGTCTGCGTAATTAATGTACATCACTTATTCACAACAGAACAAATCGATGGACTTAGCCGATCTGTAATTAATTGTTAATTGAAGAAACGAGTTGGATACTTGATTTAATTTTTTTCAGAGTAAAAGAAAAATTCCAACATAGTTACGACACAACAGCTACAGGTTACCTTCGGACGAAAGAATGTCTTTCTAATCTCAGGCATCACGAGAAACGCCTTCAGAACATTGACCGTAACGTGACGTACCTCTTTTTTACCTTCTACGCGTATACTGAAACGCGTTAAGAAATCTAGCAAAATTGTCGCTAAGTAAATGACTCCCGTAAATGTACCTGTTGCAAGGAACATTTCAGAGACTTGCGAAACGCGGCTATTACGTCGCTTTACAGGCGATATTGTTCGAGCCAAAGTTACGTTAAAATGTAGAAATGTTAAAATCGTAGAAACATGTTGAGTTATTGAAATTCCCTCAAGTTTGAAAGTCGGCATGTTCGCTCATTCAGAACCGTCGATAAACTGTCGTGACAGAAAGTGGAACGTTGAGTTTTTCTATTGAATATTGTTAACCGAGTTTTAATACGTAGTCAAGTCTGCGTTTCAATCGTATTCTGCGATCTGGGAATATAATAATCAGCAGAAATTCGTGCGTTTCAATGAGACCCAATTTATTAAAAAAACATTACAGCTGCGGAATAATTAATTTCGTGAGATTGAAAAGAGAAATTAAAGTAGAAATCAACCTTTAGAATAAATTTTGATCCTAATCAAACAGACGCGTGTCGACAATGTTCCAGAAATACGTGTTACTTGCAATCATGTAGTTATGCATAAAATATATTGAATTGTTTGTCAAACACAGAATATCTGAACCGACTCGTCTATCGTATAAATTGTATAATTAGATCATTTTTATCGTATCCGTAAAGAGAGAGCTTCAATGACAGATTTCTTTGAAACTGAGTAATACAACTCAATAACCGAACGACATTTTCAGGAATGCGTCGATCGAGGGTAACACCAATAGCGAAGTTACTGTATCGCAAGGGTTAGCAGTAGTAGAAGGGCACCACAGGGGCAAATTGAGAAAAAAATACAGATAATATTACATTGCATAAAAGATGTTTAGACAAAAATATAAACTTTTCTACTAACTCGCTGGAATATCATTTATTGACCTAGTCACCATGGATAGAAGGATTTCTGCGTTCGGCTTTCACTCCGAGAGCGAAGAACTACGTGAAAATAAAGTTCAAATCGTGGGTTCTCCTGTTTCCAAATTCAGAGACAAAAAAGAAACAGTTTTAAGTATTACGAAATTTTGTACAATGTTTATATTTATTAATAAAAAACATAAAATTTTTATTCATTTTATGTCTTATTCCTTTATTATGTGTTGATATAATATTATATATATAATTGATATATATTCTTATTTCTGCTGTTGACTTATTTAATGTATTTTATAAAAATGAACTTTTCTTTACTTTTATCAACAAAGGTAGGTCCTTCGGCTATGCTTGCGTAAGGGCCAGATATTTCCGTATAGTACGCCATTGGGTAGCACGTGAACTCCTGAGGGAATAACTAGAAGTGAATCCGTAATTGCTCGGTAATCAAAGTCTGCCTCCGGTCTGTAATTTCGCGAATCGCACATGCACCCAAAACGTACCTGCACTCTGCTTCAAAAGTTTGATTACATTTGGTACATTTTCATCAAATATTACAAAATTGAACAGTTTCAAAATTCTTCTGTGTGAGCATAAAAAATTTGAAAGGAAACAGAAAGTGTATGAGTGAACAGAATGTAGGAGAGTATGAGGAGGATGTATCTCACGAAGAAAAAGATTCGTTCACAAACGGAAGGGGAGACCGGTTCGCGGGGAAAGACAACGAGCACGCTTCCCTACGCGTTGCTGCAATATCGCTTTATCGGATCTACCGTTATGTCGATCCGTTCTGCATCGACGACACGTACAATTCGCAACGTACATTCTATGCACTATGCACGCGTGTATACTATGTAGTATGATCTCGCATGGCAACACCGGAAACCTTGCAATAGGACCACAGGACGCTGCGCTGTGCCCACGTCATCGATCGATGCCAGTAGACTGGTTGATCTTAACTGGTCGGCCAAAGAAAGACAGAGAGAGCCGATCTAACTGTAAATCTAACGCTTTTCGCCGGTTGCGTCCAGTAGCCATCGTCGTCGTTATCGTGGACGCGAGTCAAGTCAAGTGTATCGCACCGATGCGATGACCGGGCCGGATGGCGCAAATAGATAGCTTCGACGACATGACGGTTCGAACTTGTCACTCGATACCGTTCGATTGGACCGTGTTGAAATGCCCGTCAGGTGATCACGGTGTCAGCCCAGCTGATTTGCATAACAAATCGATGCGTCGTTCACGACAGTCGAAGCTGGATATAGGGAGTAGGGAGTCGATATTTAAATCACGTCAACGGGATAAACGACATCGTTTCACGCTTCGCCCTGCTAGCTATTTGTGGAGCTTTTACTCCGGAAACATTCGTGATTGAGCGTGGATAGAGGAAAGTCCGTAGTTCGCGTACAAGATCTGTTAATAATCCCGATTCATGTTATCATTCGAGGTTCCTGTTAGTATTCCATCTGCATTAAATTGCCACTTGACGTCTAAACAGCTTATAATGCCAGCAGCAATTTAAAGTATAATTTCTAGCAGACATGCGCAATTTCTGGAAGCTTCATAATAACAGCTGCAATAGTAACAACAGTCGATATTTAAGGGGCTGTCACATCTAAGGGTAGTCATTATAGTATTTCGGTCAGTAAAATCCGTAATCCTGAACTAATATCCTGACCTCTGAAAATCCCTTTCGCCATTTACATTTACGTTCCTGATATTATCGAAAACGTAAGCTGTATCTCTCTTCGCACTCTTTGAACTCCACCTGAAGTTACGCCTTCTATCTTGTTACCAGGGAAAAATGTTTACCCTTCCGTGCATTGAGTTCGCGCTCACAAACATCGCTACCCGAGCGCTGATAAACATCGCTTAATTTAAACTTTTCGTTCGCTTCCCTGTGTATCTGTTTAGCATTCCTTAAGCGGCTAAGATCGCCCGTTAATTGGCACGCAACGCGAATTCCCCGAACACAGAGGGAAGAACTATACGGCGCGGATAATAAGTACTGTGATCGGAAGAAATCCAGCGAGACCCTAGAAGATATCTCTAAGTAGTAATTTTGATTTAGAAAATACGTATAAACATATAAAATAATTTCTTCATATAAAGATCATTTAAGCTTTCACATCATTTATTTGAATTTCAAATCATTATTAGTGTGCATTGAGTCGGGTTGAAAATTTTTTCTTGGCATTCGAACAGGTTTTCGAGAACATTCGGGAAGTAACAATTATTATATGTTACTTCAAATTCTCGTGTAAGTGGATTAATTATTACTTATTTGGTATAGTATCTCCATTTCGTTTTCTAATCTTTATACCTTTACGCTAACAAATTAAATAAATAAAAATGAGAATGAATTAATAAACTTTATAACACGATTTTCGATATCGATTAAAGTATCGAAAACCTCATACCACGATTGATTTGGTTGAGTCTCATAATGATAACAAAATAATATCCTCGAAGAAACTTTTAGGATTCCCAAACATTTTTGGGAAACCTGAATATTTTCAAGGGCCCATCCTGATTATCGTAATACGAAAAAAAAATAATACCAACCTGAGAAGACGGTTTCTGGAGGAATGTCGCGATTCCAGCGCGTACCCTGTTTTTAACACCGCGCACAGTTCCCTTGGCACTGCGTATGGCTTCCTTATCAAGGATCTTGTAACCAGCAAAACACTCGTCGGTATCTTTATCGCCTAACACCATTCCCCTGCTCGTATCCTTATTGTTCCCCTTTAGTTCGTTCATATGAAATTTGTAAAACCTGTCGTACTCGTACATGTATTTCTTGCCAGTGACGGGGTTAATGCTGTTATCAACGCCGGCTACGGATTGCTCTAACCTTTCCAGTTCCTGCTTCCGTTCCTCGTAAGTGCATTCCTTCACAACCGGGGACGATAGCCTACCGTTCTGTTCGTTCGTTTGGATCGGACTCCTAATTCTTGGAGTGGTCGAGGCTTTCGATAAAGACGAAGTGCCGGAAGATGCAGGAGAACCACTGGGCGATGCTCTGATCGAGCAAGAATTAGAATCCACTTCCGGTGTCGTCGCAGTCACCGTGGATTCTTTGCTCGTTCGTTCTTTACGGTTATTCGACAGGTCCAGTCGGTTCAGGTTCAATACAGCGTCATCAGTGTCCCGATATTCTTGGTGATTCAGTCCGTTTCGTAAATGATACTTCTCCGCGTGCTCTTGAAAGTCCAAAGACGATTGATCAGCATCAACCCCATTTCCATTGACACCGTCATCCGTTATTCGGTCGCTGAGTTCACCAGCATTCAAAGAGTCGCAGCTGATGTTGCTTTCGTTATCGTCACTATCGACTTCTGCGCCGCTGCTTGTCAAACTTCCCGTACGATTATGCTGATCGCTAGCCAGAATAACCGTACTAGCATTCTTCTTCTTGGGAAGAGGCGGCGGCGTGCCGTCCAAATCACTGCAGGTTCCACTATCCAGGGTATCAGGTGAGCATTGTCCACTGGACATGACCATGCTGTTTAACTGATTCGGATACGAATTGTAATAGAAACAGGTATTCGAGCGGTTATTCGAAGAGGACGTGTTCAAGGGATCCGATGTTTCACGATGAACCATGTTCTTGTCTAAGCAGTCGTCGTTCCGATTTCGATTATCCTTATTATTATTATTATTGTTGTTGTTGTTGTTGTTATTATTACCTTCGACTGCGTTCGAGCCGACACTGATCTTCACACAGCCGTCACTGGCACCGGCACTTCCTCGCCGTTGCTCGTTCACCAGATTCGTCGCACTCACGAGCACACCACCGTCACGGTTGCTCGAACGTTCGCACGCGATACTATTCTCGTGCCCGGCGATGTTCTCGTCCAGAGTCAATCTCACCGTCGATATCACTTTGCTGTCTTTCTTGTCGCCATCCGTATTGATCTTGATCTTCACCACGTGCGCAGCTTGCTGCTGATGATGTTGCCCTTGCTGCTGGTATCGTTGTTGCTGGCTCTGCGTGTTCTGAGCTGACTTCACGATGCTCTGCTTGCCGTAACCGTTCACGGGCTGCACTTCCGGGATTCTTCTCCTACAGGTTGCCGCGGAATCGACGCCAGGAGCGGCCAGTCCGACGAATACCGTTGCTCCGGCCTCTGTGCTCAAAGGCGTCGTGGTGGGACTGGAAACAGTCCGGATTGACACAGTCTGGCGAGTAACCTGACTCGAGTCCCGGGGCTGAGCCTTTGCCGGCAGTGTCGGTGGTACGGTCATCGTGGATATCTCGTCTATATACACATTCGAGGGCACTGTCGATCCGATGCACCCGATCATCAACGACGATCCTCTGCTTTCTCCTCCCCCTGGCTATTTATTCTTCTCTTTCTCCTCGTTTCTCTCTTTACCGGGTTAAGAGATTATACCTTTGGATGCGTGCGGATAAGTTACAAAACTTTCGGTGGCACAATTTTTGTGGAATTTTAATTACAAATGTTATAAATGGCTAACTTCAACCGACAGGATTTTCAGTTGCATTGCTCGGACGTCTGATTTTCTGTGCAATTATACAAGATTTCACAATTGGATTATCAACATATGGCAAAACATATTGGAAACCGCACTTTGCACCCCGAATTATAAAACATCAAATCAGATTGTGTAACAGAAATCAGATAAAATTCTACTTTGACTGCGAGACGTCGACACTGTCTTTGCTTCAAATCCACTACCGAACGCACCAGAAGAACGGCGAGACAAGCGAAACAACGTGTCTGACCATTAATGGATCGAACCACTTGACGATTGACGGCACTGCATCTCATCGATAATCGTTATCACGACAGCAGCCTCGGTCCGACCGATCGTTAAGTGCTATTGCACTCGAGGGACGTTCATCGAAGAGCGCCTATCGCGCGGAATACAAAACAGCGACAAACATTCGCGAGTCACAGGAAATCTGTCCCCGGAGACGTTTGAACGACAAGGAAAGATCACGAAATGAAAGTGTGGGGGCAGCAAAGAAAGAGGAAGAAAGAGAGAGAAACGTACCGCCACTTGCTAACCGCATACGTTTATTGAGAACAGTGCATGGTAAATCTCGGGCCTAATTCAACGACGACGATACGACGTACGCGACGACACGGTGACAACGGCAATCGTTCACGGTACGGGCCGTCAGTAACTGTACTGAGTGCCTCTGACACTTACTCATGCAGTTTCGTTCGGCTAGGTGGGGACCAAGCTGGGCCTCACGACGGGGCACGGCGAAACTGGGAGTGGGAATGTCGACTGGCGCTGGTTCTCTTTGCCCAGGTGGTGGGGACGCTAGGCGACGACAGTTACAGCTGCTGGAAAGGTACTCGGCGAGATTATGGAACCAGCTGAAGGGTTGAAATTATTTTATCATGATCATTCAGATAGAAGGCTTGGTCAGAAAGAAAATAAAGTCAAGCGGTGACGATGTCAAATTTCATTCAATTTTGCTTTTGACATGAAAAGTTGTTAATGATTTTATTTTACGTTTTCACTATTTATAAATATTGAGAATATACATTTTCATTCACCTTTCATATCTTACATTATTTAATTTGATCGGGAATGACTCGAGTCTTCGCTATATTTTTGAGATGGATACAGAGATCGAAGAAACGAGAATGGAGAATGAGCATGAAGGAGCAAGGGAGCAGGCGGTGATGAAGAGAGAAAATGGAGGAGCCTGTGAGCCTCGCTACTCGCTACCTTCAGTGAATGAGTGAACGAATGAAAGAGAAGTGTTTGTTCGTGTGGGTAAGTAAATAAGCAGCCAAAGAGGCCTTGCGAGTGAACAAGTGAACACGTCAGCGCGCGATCGAGCGAGTGAAAGGACAAGCGTGCGAGTATCTCATATATCGATGAACAAGCGAGAGAGAAGCGCGAGAGTAGGAAGGACGAGAACAGGTCTTGGAAGTTGTCTAGCGAATAAGCACCTTGCTCGAGGAGGACGTGGCGTCCTCTACCGAGCCAGGTAGAATCGACTATCCGGTTTCTCATTTAAGTACCTGTTCTTTACTGCTCCCCTGCTTTCTTGTTAATATACTGGTGTCTGGATAAGGATCGTATCTGATCCATGCATTCATCAAATGCACCTGCTAAATTTTTGTCAGAAAATATTTGTTAAAGAAATAATCAACATCAGAGGTTTGTGAAAATTGAAAATCTCGGGAACCATCCATTCCACAATTTACGCTGCACTGTTTTTTACGAATATATTCCAGTTACCCACTGTTCTGAAAATATTGAAAAGCAGTTCATAATTTACCTAATTGTGGTTGCATAAATGATTGCGTGATGACAATAATGAAACAATAGGAGGTAAATGCATTTGTCTAATTTCCGTGAAGATGTGATTCATCGGACCAATTGCACAATCCTCTTTCATTTGCACCTGTCTCAATCTGTATTAGTCGTAAATATTGGGAACGATCACGTAATTATTTCGTTATGTTGAGAGCAATGAATAATGAATGGGACTGCCTCCCTGATGTACTACACATGTTGGTGTACGACCGACCTTTATCAACTATTGTATAATAATCTACTCGAATATGATCGACCTTTTGTACTTGTAAGTGCCAGATTGAACTTGATCTTGGATAGGATGGGTTTGTCAAGTAGAAATAAGAGAAAATAATCGAGACAAGTATTATGCATATCTGGAAGCATGACATAATTAAAAGGTGGCACGTCTAGTTTAAGAAGTAAAATTAATAATCCATACAATAATGACGTGCAGTATTTTTACTTTAATGTTACGATATTGTTCCGCAATTAACGGAATTTAGTGACGTTCACCTGGAAATAATTACTCTATGGAGAGTCTATTAGAGGCGAAACACATTTAGTCTCATTTAGGAGGAGCTGCATGGTATAATGACGTGCTTCGTTTATCACGATTTAACTTTGGGTATCACAAACTTTATTAGATCGAAATATCGTATGATTTTCGTGAGCGATTGTTTACTCGAAAATAGTCTATATTTCTAAACAACTGAACCTTCTTGAATGACTTAATATTTCACGAATTGTGTCGTGAATTTTGAAATGACCATTCGCTCGTTAAGGTAATTGATCAAGCGATCTGTGCGCATTGGTTAATTCTTTTCTCCCGTTTCCCATCCACTATTTATCGATAATTGTGATCGGATAATTTCAAATGGGATGACCACTGACTTTAAGTAGCCACCCCTAGAATTGATCATTTGGTCGTATGGTCAAGGATCGTGAAATAAAAGTGTCAAGATACGTTTTTATCCATTTATTAGTCAGAATTTAGTCATTTTTACAATTCGTTATTAGACCTATGTTAATATCATTCACTCTCACGGCCCGAATCCTTAGTTCATAAATTTGTTCTCTTTCATTCTTAGAATATATCGTTTCTCGAATTTATTTAATACTTTTCCTGTTTCTAGCGATAGACAACTGTTACTTTAAGGTAAAGGAATGTCACGCCGATTCGTTTCACGTGATCGTAAATGGACAGGAATATCTTTATTCAAATGAGTAGAAATCGGTAAAAGTATCACTTTCCGAGATGCTATCCTCTGCAGGTAGGTGCGAAACTCAAGTACCATCTCAATGTAAAACTGCAGCCCTGAATATCATCCCCTAAATCTTCTGCGTCAGGACTGCATATCGACTGTAGATATTCAACCCTTATCAAACGAAAATACGCGCCTCAATTTAGTCGTTCTGCGGATATTATGATGAAAATACGTTACTTGTGGCCAATCTGGAGTCTCACAGGAGTTATAACGCCATAATACAAGAGTAAAAAACAATCGTTTGTTTATGGTTTATGAAATTTCAAAGTTCATAAATCTTGACATTCTTTTCGTTGAAAAAAACCGCAATTTTGCGATCGCTGGTATTGGCATCGATCAGTTAATCCTACAGCGCGATTGGATGTTTCTTTTACTCCTTATTATTTGGCCTTGTTTTCTACATACCTCACCGGTAAACCAGTTGGGCAGTGTTCGCCTTTCTTTCTACGCCGTCAAACTTGTATTCTGCATACCACTTACCGTGGCATGCGATTGAATAAGCAACTTTATAAACAGTTAATACAACATGCAACCGGCCGGCTCTAGGAAAGCGTAACACTCTTGGGAATTTACCATTCTTTTTATACTCACATGCTAGCCTATAATGTGCGATACGCGAGTATAATTTAATGGGAAACAAGTGTTTCCATGCCTTTTTAATCGCGAATAAAAGTCTTGCAAAATTACGGAGAATTTGTTATGCAGTCATACAATGTGCTCATGTTAGTGTTAGCAGCGTAGCATTACCTGTATTATATGCATACCCATATTTTATAATGTACACGCTTGTCCACGTAAAGTTCCCCAGTTAACAAAGTATTTTCTTTATAAAAATTTTTCAGAAAATTCTTTTCTTCTTCTGTTGATACACTGATAATTCTTGCAAACTTGAGTTATTAAAGTTGCGTCTACACGTCTATACTCGATAAATAAAACTGTACATAAAATAAGTAGCAAAGATACATAATTTCGAGACGCAATACCAACGAAGCAAGCGGAGATCCTTAACACATTTTATTGTATGTAACGTAGACGCAATTGAACAAGATATCGTGACCAATTACATAGTATAAACGCAGCTTAAAACGTCTTTATTCGATAATAATTGTAAATAGAGTATGCGATCTAGCGAATGGTATTTAACAAATTATCAGTGAAATATATGTATATGTATGATGTATGCAAATACGCGATATGCAATACGTAACTATCTGTAAAAGAATCAGGACAATTCGATCAGTTCCTAACAAGCGAGATGAATTACTCTAACAAGATGAGGCATTCCATTGAAATATTCCTCGGAGGAAAGAGGGGAAAATGATAGTTGGAATCTGTGCCGCATCGTGCCGAGAGCCTTCGATGTGTTGACCTTGCGTGGGACGCGTTAGAGAATAAAACAGGTTCCGTTACACCTTCCAGCGTTGAAGCATTCCATCGTGCTCTCCCTGCCTACCTTCATACTCGTTTCCATCCCTTTTTCTTTTCTTTCGTTCAAGGGTGAGGTCGTTTCACACTCTGCATCGACCTCTGGGTCCCGATGAACCTGTTTGGTGAAATATAGGAAAAGGAATTTTGTATACCATCGATGACCTGACTATTGGTTGTCGGCGACATTTATATTTGATTGCGTCTTACTGTTACAATTGATAAACATTGGTCGTTTCTTCGAAGATTGATCGCGATTATTGATTTTATGGACGTTGCACATTAACGTAATGTATGTTTAACTAACATTTAAATGACAGAAAATATCGAAATAAGATACGATTCAAGCCTAGAAAGATTTCTGGACAGTGTCCAATTTTATTACACTCTGAAGTGCTTGTAACGAAAGTGATTGTAGCATGATAAACGTCGTGCTGTTATCTAACGAATCAATATTCAGAAACAAAAAGTGTTCAATTTCATTTGATCCGGTTAAATATTTTATGGAAACTTCCTCTCTCAACTCTCATTAAAACGAAGCTATTACTTTTACTTAGGTGATTCATCCATCATAATTTTCACATATCCGCAAATTTTGTTACCTATCTTAATACGATTTTAATGGAAATTAAGTATTGAATAATTAAGAATTGAGTCGAGTAGAAATTTTCCTAGAACTAAAATAGTGTACATTTTGTTAGACACTCGATCAGCATTCTTGTGTGGAACATCTGATTATCTTCTTACACAATACGATAAATGAACAAAGACTTGGCGAAAGTATTGCTACATGATTGAAAGTTGCGAGTTTAGGCAGACAACTCTCTCTCCCTGGACAAGAACCAAACGTTCATCGGCTCGGATTTTCCTTTCATAATCACGGGGCCTCTATACTCTAGCAAAAATTGTGGGTCCTGATTCTCGGGCATACAAAGATACCTACAACAAACATGTTAAAATGCATGAAATTTTTCATACTCATAGAAAACATTAAACTCTTTGTATATACAATGAATATATGTATGTAGGACGGATCATAAAAATGTCAATCGTGTTTGCATCATATATCAATGAGGCATCTCTCCTTATCTATGATAAATTGCTATGTTACAAAAATAAATCTATGAACCATTTCCTTCTAGTAACTCAACTGAGAATCATTAATCAGCATACAGCCAGTTACGGAAGCTTGGTATATCCCATTAAAAAAACATTTTAAAGACAATAAAAAATATAATAAACAATCATATTGTATAATATTATATTTATTTATCAACACGTGAAATAATATTTATTTTATGGCAAAATATATTTGTGTTAAAGCATTAACGTGTATCTCCTCCAATATCGGTCTTGAACACGTATTCTCAAAGAAAGTGTACATTGCACACTCATCTCTTCATTGTGCAATGTCACATAATTTATTACTTGATGTACTACAAACGCATGTATATTGGAGCATAACTATACATATAGAAGCATAGCTACTATAATTTTCGATTTATTTGAATTTCAATAATTTGTTTCTTTTAGACTATTCTTCTTTATTTTTCCCATAAACTGATGATACACGTTAAATCTTGGACTCGACCTTATGCAATCGTACAAGCTCACGTTCAATTTCTCTAATTCCCATTTCTTGCTCGTTAGAAACGAAAATTCTTTCTTTCAGTAAGATACGTACCACGTGTCATTATATGACAACGTGAAGTATAATTAAAATGAAAGTATCGGTGAAGTTTTGTACCGATTGCATAATGTTTCTCGATTTTATCTCGGTACTAACGACGTCAGTATATTTTCCATTATGAACCATTTATTTTGAAATTTTTTTTTAAATTTAAAAAACATCGAAAATGTCAGTTGTGCTACAGTTGTGCTCCGTCATGTAATAAATTACCAAGATCTAACATTTCATCATGTTTTATATATGTATATACTCTGATATCGGTAAACGGAGTAAGAACTTTTGAACCTCACGTGTCCCCTTCATAGACGAACTGAAGAAGCCCTTGAAATATACTTATTTAACGTCTAATCGAATTAGCCCTCTTAAGTTTCCCAGGTTGTTTCCCATGTCGGCTATCATTCGAAAGTGAATAATGGTCGCGACAGTTTGTTAACACGCGTTAAACTGAACAATGGTTACTATAACTCACTAGCACGCCTTTAATGCTCGCGTTGCTAATTTACAAGATTAGTGTATACTACTTATCGAGCTTTCGGCCGGCAAACAGCGATGGAGGTGTTGATCGACTGCTACTTCGACAAGTTATTCGCTGAAATGGAACGCAGTTGCCTAGCCTCGCGATACAAGCGTCGCGAGATGGTGGGCTACTTTACAGACGTGATAAATAGCGTTTCCGAAGGTAACACCCGAAGAAACCGAACGTCTCCTAAACATTATTCCCAGGAACGATTGAAATCAGGTGGAAAATTTATGGATTGCTTTAAAAGAAGTGTTCCGTGATTTACCGTACGTCTAACGGGTACTCGAAAAGAATCGATTCGAATCATCGGTTCTGGAGCGTGTCAACGCACTCGAAAGAACGAACTTTCCGATTCGCTGGTCGACAGGTTTCAACTTAATAGAAACTGTATTGCGCGATCACGAAAGTGGTTCGATCAGGAATACCGGAAAGAAAGTGATCCCGTGTAATGTTATATGCGGGTGAAATCCGTGTGTGTCGCTTCGTTTCCATATGATTTTACTTTCCTTGAAAAATTATGCGTGCCGCGAAACAACGCAAGCGGAATTGCTTATCCGTGAAATTAGACCGTCTCGCAAGTCGCTTGCACGACTCGCAGCACGATGAAGGAACGTTTTGATTTCTTTTAAAGCAGTTATATCTTATATTTCAATAACGCTATGCACAGTGGGACCTCGGTTTTCGAATTTGTTCCTAAAGGCTGTTCGAAAACCGAATTGCGCTCGACAACTGAAACCAGACTCTGGAGTGACCAATACCGATGTGCGTGACATTTCTCTACCACAGTCCCTGGAACACCTGTTTGCCTCTTTGAAAACCGAGATTCATCGTCGGTTCGAGGACCGAATTGTTCGAACTTGTTCGAGAACTAAGGTTCCACTTACTAATAACTGGATAAGACAGACGTATATAAATATCTTAGTTTCCCTGGGACGTTCAGTATTGATTTAAAAGTGAATTTAAAAATAACGCGTTGTACTTCCAAGAATATTAAAGCTCGTAAAAATCGTCGGCGTTCTTAAGGAAACGAAACATTGCGCAATCGTTGGGAAATAGTATTTTACCATAAAAGTCGTGGCTTTCACTATGATCTAAAATATACAATAACATTGACCAGTGATTGGTATCAATTAATGAAGGCAGTGGACATGAATTATCTTTAGAATCGAAACATGCGAGCTACTACGAGATTTGATCATGTTTACGATTGCGTTAGCTTGAATTATTACTATATAGACTGCGGATTTTATGGATTTAAAAGAGAACGTGCAGAAATGATAACTGCCGCGTGTAATGTACAAGACAATTCAGAACATCAAAAACTGAATGCAAGTTTCAATGTTTTAATGATAAAATAAATGTTTAGCTGAACACACGTATTTTAAATTGATACCATAAATGCTTCATCTTGCATAAGCGTTCACTGTTATTACGATGAATCTAACCTGCGATTTTCAGACGATCACAACGTCCTTTCCAATAAATAATTTCTTTCTGTTTCATCGAGAAGCACATTTGGTCATGTTTATCGTCTTAAATCGTCTGTCTCAAAATAAATACCTTCTTCGCAGCGTATTTTACTGGTCTTGCACTTTCAGCGGAGAACCTCGACAAAGAAGACGTCTGTGAGAGAATAGTAATGTCTGCCCTCCGCTACCATAACATCGCGATGATGGAGAACGGATACGTATGTCTACTCGGGAAATTCCACAACGTTCTATACGTAGCAGCGAAGCTGTGCTTCGACTGGAACCTTAACAACAACGAAATCGTGTCTCGGTTGCTCAACGATATTTTCTACTGTGAGAAGACTTTCGAACGGATCCTGGTGGGCGCTATTTTCGGCACCCGAGTGACACACTTCCTGTCCGGTTGGAAAAGCGACTTTGACGACCGCGAGGAGAACATGCGGGCTTTGATATACTTTTTGCACCATTCGACGGTAGGACGATTAGAGTACCTTTGCGCGTGTTCGTCTGTTAAAAGGCGATTCGTCGACGTCCCTATGGAGTCTTACGGGCAAGCGTTACCCTTGAGAGTGGCTATTCAACACGGCTCACCGGACATTCTTTTGATCATGCTCCGTTACGGGGCTTCGGTCGAGTGCGACAAACTAGCTCCAGCCCCGCTCGAGATGCTTCTGATCAAGCTTAGCGAGTACGACGCTCAACCTGGTGAAGATCGGATCGCTTATCCAGAGCACTTGCTCCTCTGTTTGAGGCTGGTGCTAAGAACAGTGACGACGGCGTTTGTGAAGACGCCTAGTCATATTGCCGAGCAGAGCGGTATTTTCAGTGTCTCTCTTTGCGAACAGTACCCGACGTTGGTCGAACAGAAGCTGGTCCCGCCCGAGAGGAGTGGCATGAGTCCGCCCGAATTGAGACATCTCTGTCGTTGTCGCATTCGCGAGACGTTGTTCCAGAATTGGGCGTTGCCGCATGGCATTCAACAACTTCAAATACCGGAGTCGTTGAGAAATTATTTGGACCTTCTTACTGATTGAGATTACAATATCAAATGGCATTTAAAAGACAATTGAAGAATGCAACGATGCTTGCCATTGAGGCCTTACAATACATCTATAATATCGTGTCATTTTCATTTTTTATGCAATGTTTCATATTTGTAACGCGTGATAAAAAATGTATGTGTGTAATGCGTAACGAATGAGATGTAAAATGAATTTCAACGTCGAGAAACGAAAGGTCAATGTTTTAGGTCACAATCAGTTGTAGCAGTTAAATCAAAGAGTCGCGGTAGTTTAAGAGAAACTCGGGTTCAGTAGGTCCGCAATAATTATGCATTGTAGTATGTAGACGTTAATGAATACTTGAGAACCGGAGAAATTCTTCTTAAACCGTGAATCCTTCTTTCTCACAAGTCATATCCTTTTCGCCTTTTCGACATGGTAACGCAATTATGAATTTCTACTTTTAAATTACTATTATTAACACTATTTAAGTTTGCTGAAAATAGTGTACAGCAATATCTATTTATACGACGTACCTGTTCTGACCTATAAATACGGGGTGTCAATCAAATACGTACGATTAATGGCTCACGGGGAAACAACGAAATATTGAAATATAAAGTACCCAGGAGATCGACTGACAGTCGTTGTAACTGTTTCAACTGACGTACTGCATTAAATTTTATCCCTCTGCTATGACTGAATTTCCCTCGGGGATGATAGCCTCGATCTCTACTAGATTTTCCAGGGGTTGTACGCGCAATTCAATTATCTTGCCCTTTAATAATGCATTGTCATAGTTGTCGGTAGTTGTCGTTTGTAAATGTTTCACGTGGTAACAACGATACTCGAGATTTCTAATAATGTTGACGCGCTATTCGATACAAGTTTTAAGATGTAGTACGTTCATTAAAACATTTAATAATGCTCGTAATACGTCTGCGATTCATAAAGAATTAAATAGAATATTAACTCTTATTTTTCCTACATTTTCGTATGTCGTTATCTCTCGATGAGTCAAAGGTTCTGAAATTTCGTACCTGTACGCATCTTCAGAGACATTTATTTTCCCTGGCTCTCCGGTGGTCTCTGTTCGACTGGTAAGATTCACCGTATTTCCAAACAGGCAATAACGTGGCATACGATGTCCAATCACCCCGGTCACGACCTCTCCGCTATGAATCCCGATGGTAATTTTCTGCGGAACAATTTACGCGCTTACTAAATGGATCTTCCTTACAGGTGACAACACGCGTCACGTCCCGTTCTCAGCTCAGCGGAAGCGTAGGAGCAGGAAGAGTGCATTCAGGAAGAGAGTCTTTTTTACGAACGATAGAATGTGATCTCTCGATACCTGTCTCGGTCGCGTAGCTTGAATCGCGATTGAAAAGTCAGGGGACATTCAACTAGTTGAGAAATCTTCTTGCTATTTAGTTACATTAACGCGTAAAACTGAAGAAGAATAAATTTTTACATGATGTTTACGTATAATGCGGGAATTCGATAAAGAGCGAATATATCTTAGAAACATCTCGAAAATAAAAAAGTAAAGTAGATAGTTAATTGAGCGAGGCGACTTTAAGTTCACCGAGCGTTTGACGAAAAGTTTAAGCACAAACAGCACGTTGCTCGTGAATCTTAAATTAAATTATCTCGAGACATTGACGTGAAACGAGTTCAAAGATGAGAAATGAATTCAATTTTAACTTTTCAGTAGACGCATAGTTCCAGAAAGATTATTTTCCAAATTAAAAAGAATTCAAAGTGCAGCGCACGATGTAAAACGGGAGATTGACAAACGTTTCGTCGGGGATTGACTGTTCGCGCGGTAAAGAGCATAGAATTCGAAAAGCGCATATATAAAAATATTGGAGAACTTACGACGGGTTCACCATCGATCTGCACTTCGTCTGCAGCGAGATCCATCATATCCAACGCGAGCCGCGCGATGCAGCGTGCATGGCAACGACATGGTTCCGGTAATCCGCTCACGGCCATGTATTTGTCACCAACAGTTTCGACCTAGTGCGACCAAAGTGGATCAGTGCTAACAAGCCTGCTCGTAAATTCAAATTGTATCCGTACGATGGTTACACGCGAATCCCTGGTTTCAGCTTTCCAAGTATGCGACCAGTAACGACGTACATGTTTATTTTCTTGTCGCGAACCTGCATATGGTATTCCTCTATACAATTTATGAAATCGATACATTTAATGTACTTTAGAATTTTTTGAAAAGAATCGTTGTAAATTAATTATCCTTATAATTTGTGGAAAGAAAAATTACGAACGTTTTCTAATTTTAATTTTTCTTAAATATAATTGCATTTACAAGAGAGTGCATTAGGAAATTTAAAAATAATACCAAGTTCGAATGTACATTATTTTCAGAGTTTGAATGTCACAATGCAGCTCGTTCAAGTTTCAGGACCTAATGGCAAGTTTTCCGTATAAAAGTGAAACACCCAAGGGAACAGAAAAGTTCCTTCTTCTGACCGACATTACTATTTAAAATACCCATCGTGACAACGGTTGTCGTTTGAATTTCCAACGGCTTCATTCAGGGATCGTATAATTTATCCCGCACGGCTCGCTTTCCCTCTTTTTCGCCCGTATTTCAATCCCCATTATTATTCTCTTCATGCGTCTTCGCTGACCATGCCTAGCATATCCCCGTCAAGTACCAGTCCCCACCATGATCGCGTCGTCCCCACTTTCCGGCCGAGGGACAAATTATACAATCCCTGGGTTCATTCTAGCGGTCCTCTATTTGTTGCCGGCAGGGACTGGATAATTTTTCCCTCGGCCGGAAAGTGGGGACGACGCGACCATGGTTGGGGACCGGTAGTTGACGGGGGTATGCTAGGCATGGTCAGCGAAGGCGCATGAGGTGAATAGTAGTGGGGATCGAAATACGGGCGAAAAAGAGGGGAAGTGAGCCGTGCGGGAAAAATTATCCAATCCCTGGTTGCCGGCATGCATACACATGATAATACGCCATCTCCGCGGTCACGTATACACGCGATCCTTTGGAACTTTTCCATTACTCTTTTGTCGTTGATAAATAATTAAAAAAAAAAAATCATTTTATTTGAAGTGCAAATTTCTTGAAATTTTAAATATGGTTCTGATATCGATTCGAAGCAACTCGGAAGAATGCGCACAGTGAAACGAATAAACGATGTATTAGAATCTAGACGGACAAAATCATGTGAACATCCTGCTCGCCTGTCTTTCGGGATGTTTATGCAAGCTAACGGCTCACCTTGTACACGTTCGGATTCTTCTTTGGATCGGTGAGCACGTCGAAGGCGGTGTACAGCTGATTGAGCATATTGACGATTTTCATCGCGCCACTAGAGTCCGTGTGAGCGGCGCAGTAGGCCCCGAAACCGACGATGCCAGAGAACAAAAGGGTCACGCAGTCATATTTTTTCGCTGGAACTGGCCTCGAGTGCCTGAGTTCGTTTGCCACGGATATAGGCAGCACCGAGTACAACAACCTGCGGGACGAGCCAACAACTTTTAATGAACCGCCTTTCAATCGACCAGCAACCTCCCCGGGCTCGCTAATTTTATTGCCTCTGTTATATTTGCTCGGTCGTCACGAACCATGAGAAAACCGCACTCTTTTTTCTTTTCAGTATTTCTGATTGAATGCATGGAATTGAACGTTAATTTCATTTCGAGTTTTTTATTTAATTTCAAGTTGCTTTTAGAAAATTTATATGGAAATTCTAACTTTTTACGTGCTTTGAATTTTAATTTTAATTCTGTGAGTTTGTTGAACGTGGTTTAGTATTTGATTCTCATTGGCGAACTTGAAATTCTTCGCTTACCTCCCCATATTAGGCATGGTTCTTATTAAAAATGTGTGGAAACCGATGATAATATAATTTGAATCCGACATGTGCAAGATTTAGAAACATTCTTCTAGTTGGGCTGAATTTATCATCAATTAAAAATACCTCCCCAATTCCCCATGTTGGACCGTTTTTCTTTACCGTTCTCTGCCATATTAAAAGGTTCCGACACTGTTAAAAGAAGGGTCACGCCTAGATTAGACTTTCAATGATTTAATTCAATCCAATTGCATACTAGTTTTATTCGGTTATATGCGTGGAAAATATTTTGTCGAATGTGACCTAGTTTAATCCGTGCGACTCACAACAAGGCAACAGGTAGAAAAATATAAAAACAGCAATTAATCTCTCCCCTTTGTGTCTGTAAATTGTATCTCGTTCAACTGAAAAATTTCGAATCACTGAAAAACTAAAGGATTAAAAAGTGTATCGATATTCTGATTACAGAAATAAAACATGTATACTCGCACTATTTTTACAATAGAGAAATACGACAACAAGGAAGCAAACAAGACAAAATGCGACGACGTCAAGATTAATTCAGAGAATTCTCAAAGTTCATTTTCTTTTAAAGGAAATTTTAAATGAAAAATTGTTATTTAATATTTTCGATAAATTTTTCCGGTTGTACTACTTGATACGAAACATCCTGTACTTTGTTTAAAGTTATTTCACGAATTGTTTTTATATTTACTACAAATTGCATTGTTAAAATTAAAAGTTCTTTCTTCGAGACTTTTTTAAGATCCCTTCGACACGTTTCAAATTTATCTTTTTTATAATTCAATTGCTCTCATTTTACAGTTTCCCTAACAAGTCTGTTTATAAAAGCATCTGTTATCACGCTCACATTTTTAACTAACGTGAGGCGACGACAGACATTTACGAAGCTAAAAAGTTATCAAATTGACGGGAGCAAGGCGAGCGAAAAAGATGCGATCCATCCAATTTCCGGTAGGAACAGAGTATCCTGTCAAGAAAAAAACTTTCACTACCGGACGGAAGATACGTCAATTCTGGGCAAGATTGCATCAGGATGGATGGCAAACGAGGCCAAGAGGGATTTCCTTAATCAGAAAATTGCGCAGGCTGGGATACTTACCTGTCGGTTTTCTGCTTCTCGCCGTCGAGCTCGCGATACGTCTGTTGCAATTTATCGGTAAGCAATTCCAAGTTCCTCGTTAATTTGTAATCAGCCTCGAATTGCTCCGACATCAGCACGAGATCTCTGGTGGCGTCGTGAAGAGGAATGTCGCTCAGGTACAATCCTCGCCTAGTGATTACAATCGTGCAAAGGGAAAATTCTCAGGACATTAACACGTTTATTTGTAACATTATTCGAGTGGCTCTAATCGATTAGAATATCTGGATTAAAAACTGGCATTCTTTTTTATGTTCAGAACGATTCTCTCTCTCTCTCTAGTTTTTCGTAAAATCAAAGTTTGATCTCAGACAAATTGTTCGACGTTCAAGTAACGAAAATTTATGATCTCCTAGCGAAGAACCACAACCCCGAATTCAACACAATTTATCTTCGGCATCTCTAATCGCTCTCATCTCAGATTCAGCGTTCAATCATCTTTGATGTATAATTCATGTCTTGTTACAATTTATGAATCTCAATGGTGGTCTAAAGACTGTGCAACAACGTGACGCAATAAGTGCGCGCTGGAGTAAATACGTTCATTCGAATAAATACGAAGATTTCCCATCCAGGAAGGAAATTTATTTTTTAATCAATTATACATAATCTATTTCGCGACGCAGTGAGGGTAATTTTTGTTTAAGTCAGCGTTGTGACGGCGATTGCGACTCGGTTCGTGTTACAAAATGAAGTTAATGCGGTAAACAGGCAGCGTAATGGAAGGTAACTCAATTAAGCTTTATCCTTAATTACGTCGTCGCTTGCATCCGGCTAAATCCTGGCCAACTACGAAATTATCTGCGCATTAATTGTTAACCATGAGGCACTTTGAGCGAGAAAAGACAATTGTCTTTTTGTAATACTATACTGCTGGTAAATTCTTGGAATCTCCAGAATAGCCCAGGAAAGAGGTTTGTAGTGAAATTAATACACAATAATATAGTCTGTTCTCTGCCAACTCTCTTGGCAAAGAGAAATCTATAATTAAGAAGCGGACTGTACCACGTTCGCGATAATAATCGATTAGGCAGAATTTATGTGGAAACGTACGATCGTGACTCGAGCATTTTAAGGGAAATGAAGAAATGGGGAAGCAAAAGATAGATCGGACGAAGGAACGGGTGGTACTGATAGTAAAAGGGGGTCAGAAATCGACGAGAATAACAAGGGTGAAGAACATTCGAACGAGGGCAATTCGGTGGCGGCATGACGAGAATTTATGCTCGCAATAGAGCACAGTCAGACAGTAGAATTGCTTAATTATGTGAGCCATCGTTTCAGCATCTATTGAACAGTCCGGTATACTGTGGATAAATATTTTCCGTGCAAAGACAGGGGAATACGTTACGATGAATTAATAGGGACAGTTTCACTAGCCGGTCTACCAAACACGTTGCTTGTATTTACGATAATGACTTCCATACCAATGGCTATCGATGGCTACGAGATGTGCTACTTTGAGCTTTATGTCTTCTTTACTCCTGTTGCCTTATTGTTAACGAACATACAATAGTTATTGCTACATGCTCGTATTTTTCGACGAAATACAATTTTATGTTTAATGCGACCAGCAATTTTCTCCCTACTGAGAGTTAAGGCATGAGAATTATTAACTCAAGTTAACAAGGTTTAGTGCGTTTAGTTTCGAGTCTTGACTGCACATTTGACGTACTTGCGTACTTTATCAAATATAAATACGTATCATATTATTCATTTTATCACTGTCATTTAGTTCCATTTATAATGTGTTTAGTAATCGATAAAAATTTCACCTATTTAAATCTGTCGATAAATAATTAAATTTCTTAAATATTCTAACCGGATTACTATTTCCAACAGAATTTAATTAAGCCTCATTGCTCTACTACGGAATGAATGCACTCGTTTTACTACACTCGTTAGCGCGAAAAATGTCTCGAGTTGTTAAGATAAGAAAATCGAGGACGTCCTTCGAATATCTTTGCCGCCACAAATTAAATCCAGTTGATATCTACTTCGACATCGTTCTCCATATCCTCTGGTCTAGACATATCTTATTTTCGCAATGCGGTATATCCGTCTAGACTCATATATTTGCAGATAAAAGCAGATAATCCTCCATCGTAAATTATATGTACAGGAGGAATTGCACAATGAACTTTTTCTCTTCAGGATTCATTCATAGCAAAATTACCAAAAAGGAACGTGATATATGTATAGAGTTCAATATATTGACAAGCGAGAACGTTATGAGTTTGTTTGTTCCATTTCTTAATCAAGTTGTAATGAATGGGTAAAATGAAAATTGTGCCGACACTTTCCGGCGCGGTGCCCCGTTCAGTGGGACTACTCCGGCAGAGTGGACTGCTGTAGCGAAATATCTTTTGATCAGAGATAACGTTAAGTTAAATTGTAAATGTATATTTTGATTATACAGAGCGTTCTACTTAATTTGCATTTGATGGCGCAGTTCAGCGCAAACGCAAAACGTGTTACATTGTTCACGAGTTCCATTCGTATTACTGTGATTTAGCTTTTTGTACTTTTGCTCAGTAGCGTATCTAGGCTTTAGATATTTCGCTATAGAATCTATCGCCATGAGCCGTTATCGATTACAGATCGTGCATGGCTAGTGAGCCAATGTTGTTTAGCCTGATTGAAATTCGATGTAGGTGTTATCCGATAATTGTACGCGATGTATATCGACGTATGTCCCGCAAACAATGAGATTAGTTTACGCGTCAAAATTACCGTCACGTATGAGACTGCGAATTTGGGTTACTGACTTTACAATATCAAGGAATGCAAACAATCCTGACTTGCTCGGGAACGCGTTCGATGTATTTTGCTAATCAACGCGGCTTTCATAGATCGAATGCGGACAGTGACTCTCATTAATATGCTCAGATGCCCTGCACATTGAAATAACTGTTTTAACAATGGATCAAAGACTTGTGAAACTTTGTACATGGATCTAGAAACGGAACGTTTCAAATTTTTATCAAAGACTTTACTGATAATGTTAAAAATTATGTCCTTTTCTTCTTTATTCGAGACTCCAACGAATAGTAATTTTTTTTTAATTTGTGTTATATTTTATATAGTAAACTAAGCCTTCCAATATTCCACAGAAAACTACAATATTTAGCCCAACATTAAAAAAGTTATTCCGTTTTGAAATGTGCTCTAATATTAATGAGAGTCACTGTAGATGAGAATTTTATCAAGCTTGGATATCAAATGTGGTTTCTGATTAAAAATACAAATAAACAATATGTTCTCGATCAATTTATCCAATCTTGGAGATGAAATAATTCTCAATAAGTTCTTACCTGGTTAAATCGTCCAAGTTCATGACGCTGGGATAACAGAGGAAGGTGACTAGGTCCGACTCGGGGATGTATAACATTTGCCCCTATAAAGTAAATTACAACACGTGTAACGTGCTTATTTTCTGCTGCCAATATTGGTCTTCAAAACTTCAGCACCAGTTGACGTACAAAATTAAACATCAAACTATTGATTACGTTTTCAATAACGGACAAATTTCATTTACGATGTGAAAGTTCATTTATTAAAGGTATATACTAACTTTCAAGCGTAGGTACGAGTACTCCTCCGATGCTTCCACCTGCATCACACCCTTCTTCGTTCGTAACACGTATACAGTGTTTATATGCGACAATATGTTCTCAAACGTCAACTCTAAATGCGGTCTGACCTGAGAGAACAAAGTTATAAATTTACTTTGCATAAAGAATTCAGAATGACATTATTCACAAAATTCATTGTTATCCATTTGCATATTGTATCAATTATTGCGGATTGTGTTCATACCAATGTCGATTAACGATAATAATCTGAATGACTATCTGCTGTATGCACATCATGCAGATACACTGAGTGAAAATCCTATAAACGCACGTAAATATACTGTACCTTTTTTTTAGCCCTTCACCATCCACTCGTACGCCGAATTCGCCCCGGCTTTCGCCATTCGAACTCGGCGCCCCGGGCTCCTACCCCAAGGGAAAGTGCTTTCTATTTAAGTACATTTATTACATCCTATCTATTATTTACAATTTCAGTGAGTTGCAGCACTCACTGTTCTCCTTTCGCTACTCGTCAGATATATGTTTACATATATGTATATTTATGTGATAATTATGTGAATGCAAAGCTTTTTTAATAATTAAATATTATATACGTGTACTTGACAAACTGCTTCATGCAATTCTAATTTAGGTGAATCCGTATCACAGAAAGGGTACAAGTATGTTTCCATGCGCGTTACAATTGTGCAAACTTACAGTTAGTAGGATGTCGTTCAACTTGCAATTACCAGAACACACTTGAGGTATAACTCGGGTTATAGTGCAACCGGTTTGAACTATCGTGAGATCTCGGTTAAACATCAGATGGAACGGGAATACTTGGCAGAACGTCATGGGACTCACTTTTGGCTCTGCGACACGTTCACCGATAACAATGGTTACAATAATTGTACATCACTAGATTAACCCCTTGGCCGTCGGAGGTGAAATGTATCTTTTGATCCGAAAGTGCGTCGACGCAAAGGATAATCACAAAACTCAACATCCTACGGTTTATGAGGCCACCGAATCCAGACATAATATCAGAACTTGCAATTCAATGAAGCATCCAGTACGGGATTAACGACTTTGTTTGGTATCGTTTCTGAGACTTTGGAACCAAGCGAAAAACTACAAAGAGTAGAATCTCCTATCTTAAATCGTACGCTGATTAATAAATTCCGATCAGTAAATGAATGAAAACGAATATTGGCATTTTTATTTTATTTCACGAGTATAGTACGTAGCTACTTCTTCCTATAGGAGTTCACGCTCCAGTTAGCTCAATGCCTCCGAGGATCCTGGTTCACGATAGTCAAGGGGTTAACTTGATTTCCCAATTAGACGCGATATAGAGGATATTATAAAACGAAACTGCAAGAGTAAATGCCAAACATATTCGTCAAACTCACCAATAGATAAAGTCTCCAATTCCGCAATCATAGGATCCGAAACGACCCCAGGACCGGATGTGTTGGTAATCAAGAACTGCACGTGATCGCATTCGTTTTTCGTTTTGAGTATCCGCATCTCTACGTCCGTGCCATGAAGCTTTTTCGCCACGGTCTGCAGTCGATCAAATTTATAACGCGGTCAATCACGGTTCAGACCGAATGAATTTATCAGAACGAGAGTTAAACATCAAACAACTATTGATTTAACGTATATTTTACTTGGACGATTAAAAGTATTATAACTCCATAGCAGTGTGCATGATTAATAAATTGTAATGTACGATAAATCAGAATACGAATCGTGAAGAGCCAAACTGAACGATCTTCAAGACTGAACATTCTTCCAAATTGTACTCAACAACCCGAGTTCTTTCGAGTACGTGGATTAGTTTACTAAATAATGAAACAGAAAATTGCAAGTTTTCCTTTTTAATTTCCTCTCCGAATACGAGTAGGAATATGTCAGAAATACCTTGACGATGCCAATCACAATGTGCTCCAAACCAGGTCGATCGGAGTAATAATGTAATATAAGCGCTCCATCCTCAGGACGTTCGGTGCACCGGAAGGAGGGCGCCCTCATTCCTGGATACAGAGTGCCTAAATGATCGTGAAGGGCGTCCAGATTCTGTAATTAATCGTTACGTGGATCCCCATCAGTATATTTCCAAACATTATCGAATATTACGGTTCACCTAACTAAAGTATACACCCCGTGTCCCTAATTCGTTTTCGATTACCATTTTGTGTTTCGACCGAACCACCGCGCCGTAATAATCAATACATGCGATTTCACCACAGCCACTGATATAATTTATCCCGTTAATCTGTATTATTGATGCATCGTAATTCCGATACACCGCCATTGACTCGATCAGCGACGGTGAATTACGTAAGAAATGTGAAATTCCCAAGCGCGAACAGAACAAACTGCTCGCGCAATATTATGTTTTCGAACAATGTTGAGGAATATTTTTTTGATGAAATGAAAAGGAGCAGAGCACCATTGTTCTCGCCATGTTCTGTATGATTAATTTCATCGGACTCCAGCCAGTTGATATGTACGGATAAAAAAAAACAGGCCAATCATTCAGTCCGCTGGAACGCGGCATAGGAATCATAATAATTCATCAGCCAAGCATAATAAATACATTTTCCATGATCCTGCCTCGCGATAATCCTAATGTTGGTATTCCGGTCACGCGATCGGGTTCACGCGCTTTTTGTTCGGACATTCAGCCATAAGTTGCCGCAATCTGGGACTGGTTCGTCGCATCGATGCTGTGCACCGGCCTTAGTATGTACATACGCACGGAGAATCTCGCCATATACGCGACGACGCGGATGCAAATTCTTCGATAATACATGCGTGCAACTATGAACACGCAACAAGGACAGAAGTGACGAGGACCGTTTTCAATGCATGAATGACTCATGTTTTTATAGGCGACAAAACATTTGATGAATTATTGTGCTCAATGCATTTCTTTACGCGAATTCTGATTTTAACTTGCCATTTGCTTACTCATTTCAAATAAGAAACATTTCAAAACTTGAATTATTTAAAAATAGGCTAATTTACGGTTAAACTGATTAGTTTACACTGTAAAAAATTTTCAAAGAGAATTGCAGAAATACTGTACATAAACTACCTGCCTACTAATCAAACAAAACTCTCTACCTACTCGCCTATTCACTTTTTACGCAATCGCATTATGCAACTAAACATCTGTCGAGTCTGCGTGTAACAAACACGACATGAATGAGGATATGCCTACGCGTGTCATCCTTTCAAGAAAACTTTCACCACGATCGGCACGCGGAATCGCGACAATCCCTGCCGTGGGGTCTACCTACCGAGGAGGGTAATGATATTCCTTAGGAAAGTGAATGGACGTGTCGAAAGAGCATGTCGACGAGCGATTTACCTGCAAAAAATCTCTGGGCGTCGCCCCGAGCACCTGGAGGATCTTGTCGTAGCCGGAATCCTGACAGAACTCGAAGAACATCCGGCCGAATAGCTCGAGTATCTCGTTCGCCGGGATATCTGAAAGATTTCTCGAGAATATCATCGACAGTTGGTACCGTATGCTGCTACAATATTGTATCTAAGGTCAAACAAAACTAATTTGAAATGAAACAAAAAGTTGATTGTGATACACTTTAAAAAGTGGATGGAGCATGAAGTCATGTGTTTTTAAACAGGGTAATTTCGGAAGAGACGGCAAGTACTTTCTACACTATCCCCCATACGCGTCAGTATTTTTTTTGCTTTACCCAAAGAACACGGCTCTCAGTGTTGCATTTTAATTTTACGAAATTGTGAACGAAATCAACTTTTTAATTTTTGGTGAGTACACAATATTTCTTACGTTGTCGTAAGGAATATGATTACTTTGTTGTTTGGGCAGATGTTTATAGCATTTTCGGAAACTGACAATGAGTTTCAATAACGTTTCGCTATAATTCTATTCTGAATTAACTATGATGATTTAGGTATTCGTATTCGGTTTTGATACGAAGTCCATCTGTCCTATGCGAATAATCAGAAATCAATACTTGGTTTTGGTGATGAAGCGCATGGTCCATCTCAATTGTACATGTTAAAAACAGATTATAAAAGTAAAACGAATGACTGGAAACAAATGATATGTTGGCTGCTTTCGCTGGTTTCACAAGGGATATTTAAAGTTTGAAAATATATATGTAACTAATGTGCGAAAAAGTAAATAAATATTACAAAATAATCGTCTATTGTTAAATAAAATAATTTTTTTTCATAAAAATAGTTGTTATGAATAAATGTAATAAACGAATATACATGTGTAACTTGTATGAAGGTGGTTCATCTCACCAGTACTACTGAGAGAGAGATCGGCCACAGCCCAAAATTTTGTCTTATAATAATTATATGTCGTGCATAAAATCATTCATTATACAAATGGACAAGTGAAATATTTAATAATTCCTAAAATATTTAATTTTTCAAACGCTTTTGAAAACACGTCTCTCCGGGAATTACCCTATTTGAGTAAAGTACTAACATGTACTCCGTTTAATGTCATTAATATGAACTATGAACATAACGTCGATCATATTACAATTCTCGTGAAGCATCGAGTTAGATGCAATTTTAACATGATAGACTATTTTCTCGTTCAGAACGGAGAGAGATTAATTACAGCGTCAAAGTCTCGGAACAAATTGCTCGACTAACGATCGTTTTCACGCCAGATTATTATCGATGTAAAGGACACGAGGGGATTACATTGTTTCTCCTGCGTCCTTTCACTCAAAGATTCGTAAACCGATATCGAAAATCTATTACTATTGCTGTTCCGCTGTGTCGCTTGCAAAAAATCAGTTTTTTACGATTTTTCTCAAATGTTGAAAGAAGCTTCATGATATCAACAAAGAACAAAGTTATGCATTGATTTTAAAATTAACGCAAGATAAATAAATATGTAAATGTTTAAATAGTAATAAATATGTAAGGTTATTTGGGGAAAGTCTTGAAGATTTTAACGAGGCTGACAAAGTATCGCGGAAAACTTTCAAGTAAATGAGAAATATTCGAAACGAGAAATAGATGCTATTGTTTGGATAGGAATCAAGGAAGCTCCAGAATCTTAATAGGATTAAACAGTAAAAGAGAGTTCTGCAGTAACATTCGACATTAAGAAAAACGTTAGCTCAGGAGAGTTTCTATCCAAACAGCATTAATTAAATTATTGAATTCCATCAGCTGTAATTAAATGACTTAATTCTTGAAATCGGCATCGATTACGATACCGCATAATTTAATTGGAAATTCGTGTTTGAAGAAAAATGAATACGTACTGAGCCGATTGACAGCTGCCGATATAATATTGTATGTAATTTCATCGTCGTATATTTGGCGAACCAAAAACTGTCCTTCCATATTGACCGCGGCATCTTTCCTGTGAATAAACGTTCAGCCATCTTTACAGTTAACCAAATTTCAAACAACTTTTTAGAATACATCAATATGTCACTAAAAAAAGTTTGCAGATGCTTCCATACTACATCTCCAAAAGTTTTCCTAAATGTAGATGCATCGTCATTATAACCCTTCACACATTTTCATTCAAGTAAGTTCATATATCAATCAATATTCCAAAATAAAAATATGAAAGCATCGTTGCAGTCAATTATAAATGACGTTCTGAAACTCCGAATATTAACAAATCGTACATGTCAATAAATTTTTAGCACAATTATTTTACCATCAGATATGAAAAAGTTTGTGATGGTGTAATAAAGTATTAATTGGCTGTTGGGTGGTGCAGCATGATAACACCGAGCGAGCATCCTGTTTTATTGAACTTTCGAAAGGCCAATTAAGGCTTTGCTTTATTTTACGTCGACGACGCGAAAAATGTCTGAAAACTGAAACCGCAGCCGCATACACACGTAAAAGCCTGGTTATTACATTGCGAAGCGTCGATCTGCCAGCTGGTCAAAGTAATACGAGCGTGTAATAGGAAATTAATTAGTTTCGCGCTTAAAGTAAAGCAAATATTTCTCAGCAGCAAAAGCCGTGCATTTTAACTTTAACAGGCTTTGTCGGGTGCTTGCGGTGGTATTCTATTAAATTTAGAAAGTACAGTTTAATGGCACTCCGTTGTTTGACATGGATATGAGCTGTCACTCCAAGCTTGCAGCCAGCGTTCTCGCAGAATTTTGTCCGACCTCTCTCGACGGTCGACAAAACTGTTATGAATTCCAGATGAAGCACAAAAATAATATCAAGTATTAATTTGTGAAAATTACTTTCCTTGATGATTTCAAGTCACAATAAAAGTCTTCAAATTCTAGTATATCTTACATGAGAATGAAAATTAATTTTTGTCAAAGACATTCTTTAATGTCACCAATTATTTTACGATAGCATGCACACTGTTTTACGAAAATGGGATACTTTGCGCCCGCAAAGTCCACTGTTTCTGCATCGCGTGGAAAACTGATCTTGAAAATTACATTGCGTATCTTGTGAACACGGCGACGACGAAACATCATTTAGGGGCAACTAAATTGACCCGTTTTTCTACAGCTCTCAAGAGTCATCGTACCTTATACTTGAACTAACCCACATTTTCACATCCCTCGCCTGCAGTATACATATTTGATAAACAATATCGTCCCGACCCCTTGTCTTGTGTAAAAGAAAGGTTGTACTATCTTTTTCTATGAAACCCAAAATTTGAGCTTTTACACTAAACTAAATAACTTTGTTATTTTTAAAATTCACCAAATTACATTATGCAGTTTTTGTTAAAATGCAGATCATGGATACTGTATCAGTTGTATAATTTATAATATGCCAAGTGTTTGCCATGTATTGAATCAGCGATATTATAGATATGAATAATGCAACGTTGTGAACATTACTACAATTATTCACGATTGTTAAAAATGCTGTAATTAAACATAACAAATAAACCATTAAATAACTGCTCGTATAAATATTGATTAAATATTATTCTGTCATTATCATTTTTAATTATAAGAGAGTGAATTCGTATTCTCTAGTAAATTAAGAAATATACATTAACAAGTAATACCGCTGATAGCAGTTATCGTAGTACTTGATGAACACGCCATTTCCACGAAATTAGAATTTCATACGTCAGTGCATAATCAACCAATGTTCGCAACCGCAAGCTAGCTCGGTGGTGAATTCTTGAACACAAAGTGTGTTTCAAGCCGTGCTTCAATTAAATCTCAGTAAACCAGGGAACGCATAGTTGGCCGACCACGCCAAGCGAGTAATCATTTCTTCCCAGTTAAAGAAACATACATATAATCGTAAAACAATTCGTCAATTGCACAAAATGTGGTTTTTAATCGTACAAAAATACATCTTTTCAAGACTCGCACAAATTCTTTTGAAACTCATGTTTGAAACATGTTTTCTCATTCTGCATTTTCATATTCTTATTCCATTTATCTCGCAACAGATACCGAGAATAATCCACGTTTTTAATGACAAATAAATTTGGGGTACGCTCAAGACGAAATTTAGTGACATTTAAAACATTATTCAATTCCTCGGAAGCCATAACTGGAGATTAATTTCAACAGCATGCGCGTGCCTTCGTATAAACCGTACGGTATCGTACCACTGCCACAGGTGCGTGGCGGTATTCGCTAATTAAAGTCCAGTGCAGTGAATTTTAGTACTTTCATTTCAAGTTCTCGCATCACGCACCTGTCTTTTATAGTGGCACTATGTTAACCTTTAATGAAACCATTCTGCTGACAAACTGTACGGAAAAATTTCTACACGACACGGCTTAAGAATCCTCGAAACGGCAACAACTTCCGAGCTGTGAAAGCCTTCCTCTCTAAAGATCTACTTGTTACCTCACCATATTACCATTGCCGCACACGAGCGGAATTCTCATCCGAATGTCTGAGAAATGACAAATGATGTCACACGTTCCGAACAGTTACTTCAGTTACTGGAACCGCCTAGGAATTAGTATGGTAGCCAAAGTGTAACGTACATCAAACAACGCCCCAAGGACTGATGGCTCGTTTGATCAACAAACAGCGAAACCTTGTGCATTCAGCTCGATCTAGAATTTAAGAACGTGTTGGTGGACTGCGGGTGGTATCCGCTCGACAAACAGCAACACGCGTACCGAATACTTCGTGCCCGCGTCATTGAATCAATAGATCGAGTAAGCAAAACTTTATTATATGAACTTGTTGATCAAAGAAATTTGCCAAGGGTTCAATCCTTTCCTTCGTTTTCCTTCGTGACCCTAGTTATATTGCTCAGGGATTTCATCTTTACGGGAGGGTGGTTCCTTTAGATATGATTTAGATACCACATGGATTGCAGCTTTATTGATAGGGAAGTGGGACAGGTAATGGAAAAAAGGTTCATATGAGTACAGGGGTGAATATTACTGTGATTGATACACTTTCTCTCCCATATCAAATTTTCATACTAGATGGTAAAAAGTACGCAACAAAATTCATTTCCATCACGTTTAGTTTTCAGATTTGTCAAACATAATCCTCTTGGCACCAAAGCGAACACGTTCCGGTGACAGTCCATCGGGATGGGAATCCAGTCATTTCTCCGATTTGCGTAGGATTACATTGGCTAGAAAATTCAATATAAATTCCGAATGGCACCGCAAGGAGAGAGAAGAAACGTTCCGACGAAATTTTAGTTAAAGAATGTGAAGGATTCGGGTCACGGATGCATCAAGCTACACATACATACGTACGTACATACATAGATACCGTAGGTTAGGGTTAGAGCAAAATAAAGCTGGTCAAGCACGGGGTTACACCACGTGGTCTGGCGAACAGCTTCCGTTCTACCCCACAAGAGTCGAACATCATGGAGAGTATGATTGTGTAAAACGAGCAAAGGTAAGGAAATAACAGCATAAAAACAATGTGCGAGAAACAAATAGACATAGAGAGATGGTGATTGATGCGAAATCGAGTCGACGCGTCGTGCAGTCACACTTTACCTACTTTATCGCCTCCCATGTCTCGCTGTCAAAGGTCTTCACAACCAGCAGCTCGAGGGCGTAATTCACAAAACCGTACTGCACATAAAACAAAAATAACTATACTTTTGGCGCGAGTATGGAACGTTATTACGGAAACGTGACAGTATGATTTACGTGCAAATGGATTGTTTAGACACTGATATATCACGTGATTACAACTGACATCTGCCGATCGTCAATTGGTCCTGTCAATTTGACAGTTTTTCAATTCGTACTCGTCAATTCTATTTTCTGTCACAGATTATCGTTACCGTCTTTTATCTCAACGAACGTACCATGATGATCGGAGAGAAGCAGACTGATTATTATGGCTTCTCCGCGTATATCATTCCATTCTAATTGCCATGAGAGCCGTGTTTACGTCGTGCACACGAGCCGCGTACTGGAAAGTCGGTTCGCTGGAGACGACAGGTATCGATTTTCTACCCTCACAACTGCGCCACCTAGATACAACCCTGTTACCCGTCTTCGGCTCGCCCTCCTCCATAAGCCTCCTACACCCTTCTCGCTGCCAATCCGTTTTGCTGCCGTCCCCGGCATCGGCAGCGACATTATTCGTCAGATGAATACATACGAAAAGCTGATGAGACTCGCTCGAAGGAGCTTGTACTCTCCCTGATTGAATAATTCTATAATTTTCCTTAATATACATTAATTTCTTCATTTATTGTGTCATTTGAAAACTAAAAAATCAGTCTTATTCCCGTAGTTTCTATTCCAAGTTTTCTATCCATCTTTGACAATTTTTACGAACAGGTACTTTGTTACTGATTTCAATGATCTTTAAATATGTCGTCGGGGGCATGATTCAAGACATCTTTTCCCTATACATGTTGCTGTCGTTCAGGTTTAGTTTCCGAGACATTCACAAACACCTACTGTCACTCGAAACTTTATTCTTTTCCGATTAAACTAAAGATTTCTAAAATTATTTTCATCATTTATTTTCCTTGAGCTTCATCACCGGAAGTTTCATTTGGGCGTCCTAGTAACGTGCTTTTCGGAGACGGTATCGAGCTTCTTTGTGGGATTTTATCTGCGGAACGGCTGACCCGAGAACTCGTTGAATAGCTTAGGGTTGTGCAGCCGAGTTTCAAACTGAAAAACAACGATGACGAAGGGGGGCAACAGGTTTAATCTCGTGGGTCGCGAGGAAATCGGTGTGGCGCGGTGTAATATTCCGGCCGGCCGATCTAAAATTCCGACTTTGGCAGTAAGCTCGACTTAGATTGTAATTAAAAACGATGCAATAGTAGGCAATTATAAAACTTTAACTTCTGGCGGAGAAGAGCCCCGAACGTCAAGAAAAGACAGATTTTATTTATCGCGGCGCGGCGCCACGCGTCGAATCGCGGGACGTCGAGACCGGAAATTACCAGTGAACGTGCGATCCCAGTATGGCTTCGTTAGCTGAATTACGGTCTGCTGTTACAGATCATACCTTTGAAATGTCGAACTGTACTGACTTTTGTGCAATGAACGTTCTTATTAATTTCAAAATACTTACAAGTGTTATTGTCTGTTACATGGAAAGAAAATTATTTTCAACAATTAATCTATCGAAAGTTTATGAAAAATTCTATTTTGAAGCTGAATTTCATAATTTTTCCGTGAAAATGCCACAGTGACTCTAAAGGATTATAACTGCATACTATATTTCTCTTACTCTGTGCACTCGGAATATCCCGGAACATTTGTTATATCCCTCTACGAATTATATCCAAGAAAAGGATCGTAAAAGTAGCTTAGACGGATTCTGGAAAGCATATATATGCAATCTATTAAATGTTATTTAAGCACAAAAGTATATGTATGATTCAATATGTTTGATCTATAGATATTGTACATATTGTCAGTATACAATTTGATATTTCTTAAATCCGTTAGCTATTTGCATCCAAGTATAGCTCGTTATTTTCGACTAGACACTACGGCACAACAAGATGGTATCGAGTGCGTCATTCAATATTCCACCGACAAATTCGTTAACGTCAAATACGATCCCCGTTATAATTACGAGAACAAAATTCATGTCAACGTGAATTACAAGCCGAGTCGGCAGGCCTCGACGAACTAATTAGCAAACGAGGAGGAACACGAGGGACGAAACCTCGATCCGAGATTCCCTTGGCCTGCGAGTCAGACACTTTTAATTAATTCACGAGTTGACCAGGTTCCATCAGGCACAATCTCTCTAGAGAGCTCGTTTCTACGAGCTTCGAAAGACGACAAAGATGTCTTTACGGTGTCGTCGCGAAGCGTTGCTTCTTTAAGGCGAATGAAAGTTTAACAGAGCGCACCGTTCCGAATTCCTTTTCTCCGGAAGACGAAAAAGGAGAATTGGAAAATTTCAGCGACCAGGGACGCCGAATAGGGCATAAATATTTAAGGTCCAGTCAAAGTTACGCGAGCCTGATATCTCGAGGCGTCGACTGTTTAAAGTTGACCTCTTTTTCGCAACCGAACATTCTCGCGTCGAGAAACTTCCTCAAGTACCGCCCCATCGGGGGCGGAGGGTGGAAAGTGCGTCCGATAACTACTTTCGTTATTCTTTCCCCGTGGTAACTCCAGTTCGAGTTCCTATTAGTTTCTCACGCGTCAGTTCTTCTTATAATCCTGCCCGACGGAATATCCTCGTTTTTCCTCGAATGTTGTTTGCCAGCAATCGCTTTCTGATATATCGGTCGCCCGTTTCGGTGGCGTCGCTGTTGCATCTTGACGCCGACACACTTTTCGCCCAAACTGTCGCAGTTGTTTACCCTCGCAGCTGTCGCGTGGCTTCAAAGATGAACAGGCCATGTCGAGGCAGTAATATCGGTATATAGGGCAACCAAGGGGAATCGCAAAGACCTCGCCCTCATTACGAAAAGTCAGAAGGTTCTCACTTTGTGGGTCGAAAATCAAAGTAATAAAATAAGAGAATAGTGCAGTTTATAATCCTCAGCGAATATACATATACATCCTTCAGTCGCTTGTTAAATAACTCAATTTTCAATCATAAATGTCCTTTTTTACGAATCTCTTAATAATTTTTGTACTCCGTAACGCGGGTTCACCACGATCTTTTCTACAGCACAAAAGTCGCTATAATCATTGCAAGCGAAGGAATACCACGAATTGATACGACTTCGAAGATTTACGAGGCTCGCAAACGGACTAGTTACGAGCTAACAATGAGATACAGTATTCTATCGGGCGCTAGTGTTTGCTCGTAAAAGTATGGAAGTAATGGCCGTTATATAATTGCCAGATCGTTTACGAGCGTCAGAGTTTACGATTCGCAGCCAACGGAAGCAATTGTGCAGGCTGTTACACGAAGCACATAGCTGTCACCGATTAAAATGGCTTCGAATGTTTTAGAAAAATTACGTAGGATAATCTAGTTTCAAACGTACAAATGCATGGGTTTTGTTCACGTATTGATTCGCCGAGTCGCCGAGTTCACACAGACTGTCGTACTTTTTAATTTTGTTTGAGAATGGCAAAATTAAATGTTATCTCCATTTTGTTTAACAGAAGAAGTCTGTATCGTGAATAGTGGGAACAAGCCTTCGGATTTGTTCTATCGTATAATATATTTAATAGTCGAGGGCATTCTATTTTCTTGCTCGCGTGGACCGAATAATTATCATTGTACTTTGAAGATTTGCTGAGAAAAAAGTTTTCTCCCGAGTCTCTAATCATGCATATTTCGCGATGACACGAAGGGATAACTACGAGTCCAATCGGGGAAAAAACGCAACCGATGCGGATCTCGGATGTGTCACGATGTCGTCGAACGTTCATCAGAGCGGCAGTAATTGAGTGGGAGAAGACTCGTTAGCACCGGTCGTTGAAATTTATGAAATAATGTACGCTCCTGTTCCATCGATATTGAATTTCTTTCACACAAGGTTTTTTAATATGCTAAGATATTTAATTACGAGGAATTGATGTCAGTTCTTTGAATAATTAATATCCTCTGCAATAATCTCTTTTGAGCATTAAGGTTATGAAATGGTAAAATATTATTTTTTTCTCTCGGGAAAAAATTATGGATCCAATGTAATTAACAGCATCTCAGACGTATTCGAACGATAATGATCGGGGACTTTAATTAAATCAATTATTATAAATGTCTGACCGCATCGTTTGGTACCATTTCGTCATATCGTTTACAACTTCGTAATAATCTCTCGTACGTACATACCTTTCAATAATATTACCGAACAACACGCCAACTATACTTGGCATCCAATTAGGCTCATTAATAATCACTAGAGAGGCTCCTACAAATGGAAGCTTATCTGAATATGATAATACTGTCAAACCATGAAGAAATTCACTGAATATTAATTTAACTACTGATAATTGGGAACGATAATAATCTCTGAGGAGTTCTTCAGGGCAGCTATGCGTACGCGAATATTCAATTCGAGCGGGCTAATTAACTCTTCAAACTGCGAAACTTGTCGATCCTAGTTGAGTCGATCCCGATTGAACTGTTCAACAATGAACGTAGTGGTTTCAATGGTACTTTGAAACTCGATTGAAAAAGTTACACTGGGATATTCAAATCAGAGAGTATTCCAAGTGATTTTAGTACCTTTTATTTTCATTTGAAAGAAATTGTCCAAGATATTTATGTCGGATTTATTCAGTCTTGGAACTTTCAACGTATACAATGTAATAAAAGAATTATTGCAAACGTCTTTTTTGTAAATATGAAATAATTTCTACTAGATCTTAACACCACGTTTCCTGAAAGAATTACTTGAACCGTGAAACGATCCGGGGCATATGACAATCATGAAACGGCTAAGAAGCAAAATCTGCGAATGTGTCCGATCTACGGTGCACCTGATCTCTCAACACAGAACGGGTGGCCCGCAGATACAAAGTCAAACAAAAGAAGAGAATAAGCACTTCGAAACGTTATCCCCCTCATAAAGTATGGACGTGTAAATATTGAACATACTGTGCAAGCCCCATGGCTCTCTTTTCCTGTCGTGTGTAACGGGATGATTTATTTACGAGGAATCTCGTTCTCGTAAAAACGACGCAAAGCGACTTCCGTTAACGTTTTAGGATCCCTTCCGGTCGCATACAAATTTGCTTACCACTTAGCAAACGCAATTGCTGCGAATAGCGGCGATGCATCTCTAAATACATCCAGTTCTTTCGCAACTAGCTGCTCCGACATGAAAATTCAGTATTTCCAGCGGGCTGCGAGTCGAAAGGCACGTATAGAAAAATGTTAATGATGGTATACGTGGAATTTAGAAACATTTTGTCGTATTTTTTACAGAAATCTCATGCTATTACGAAAATTCCTATCATGAAGACGTTCAGAATTTAGAGGATATTCTAAAAATGATGATAAAAGAAGCTTCGTTGAAAATAGTTTAAGA